AGTAACTCACCCCAAGTACCTGGCTCCTAGCTTGTGCTGGGTGAAGTGGGCCCTGCTCAGCATCTCAGGGCCTGTTGAAGGCTCTTTCCATCTGCCTTCCCTGCCTGCCCTGGGGTGACCACCAGCAGAGAGGGGACTTGGCTTGTGCGGAGGCACTGCCCCATCTCTTCAGCCCACGCTCCCTGCTCCTCAGGCTGCAGCCTCAGAAGAAGAGTGTGTTCCCACTACTGTGAGCCCGCACCAGCCCGGTCCTCCCCAGCGCTACTCAAACCCGAGGCCAGCTGACCCTTGGTTGTGGAGCTGTGCTCTGCACCGTGGACGTCCAGAGCACCCTAGGCCTCTACCCACTAGAGGACCGTGGCAGCCCCAGGCTGGAACCAACACACATCTCCAGACCTTGCCGCCCAGCCAAGGACCAGTGGGTGACCTACCTGGGCCACCCTGGAGCCTGACCAGGCTGACCAGGGCCAGCATGTCAGGGTTCCAGTTGATGGGAACCTGTGTCAGGATTCCCAGGGGCAGGCTGTCGACAGGCAGTATCCTAGGCTCTATCCCAGGAATGCTCTGCTAACCTCCGGAGGTGAGGGTCGGAACCTGTCGGGGCCAGGCCTCCACAGCTGGGCACTGCCCCGGAGCAGTGGAGTCCCCGGCCTGGCAGGAGCCCTCAGGGAAGTGGCGGCAGTTCCCCCTCAGGTGCAGGCCAGGTGCCGGTCTCTCAGGCTGGGCTGCTCTGGGAGGGGAAGGCAGGCGAGCAGGGGCCGCAGCCTGGGCGACCTGGAGGAGCCCCAATGGGCACCTCCTGAGGTTCTCAGCGGGCCCCGTTGCGGGGAGGGAAATGACATGAGTTAGAACACTTTTCTGAGACAACAAACAGAAAACTCATTTTTAAGAAACCTAGATTCTTAGAGTATTGAAATAAGCCATCTTTATTATTCCATGTAGCAAAAGTGCCATCTGAGACCCAGTCCTGGCTTCTGGCCTCCTGGGCAAGAGAAAGGAGCTGGGTGCCTGGGGACTTCTTGGGTCTTCTGCAAACCTTTCTCAGATGGCCTGAAGCCCCAGCCCCAACCAGCGCTGGGGCCAGATTTTGCCACAAACTCCCGTCTCCAACAGCCCTCGGCAGAGGGAAGGCCTGCAGCTGACAGAGCGATGGTGACTCAGCCTGAGGCTGAGCCCTGAGGCTGGCGCCAGCTCCCCTGCAGGAGGGAGCCGACCCAACCCTGGACCAAATTAGGGTGTCGTGAGCGAGACAGGACCAGGAGGGTGGCCATGTGCAGCAGTTGGCAGAGTCTGACCCAGCCGCTGGCCTCAGAGCTGCCAGGACCTGGAGGGGAGCGCCCTGACCAGGCTGGGAGTCGGGCAGCAGGTGGCCTGCCCCCACCTGGGGCTCAGGTTCCGGGGGTCCCTGAAGGCCACCCTGGAGGTGCGTGGGATGGGTGGGAGGTGGGCCTGCAAGGCCTCAGGAGCAGCCCGGCCTGTCCACTTACCTTGTGCTGCCCTTCCTCAGGGCTGACCAGCCGCACTGTACGTCACACACAGAACCGTGGGCTCTGCTTTCCCACAGGGTGTGCTGATTGGACTCCAAACAACAGCTGATTTGGGTTGAAAACACTCCTGTATTTTCAGATGAAATAATATTAATTTGGACAGCGAGCATCTGATCAGAATTCCTTGTAAATATTTAGATCAAGTGCCTGGGGAAGAAGGAGGCCAGGTTGGTTGTAATTAATCATGGATAATTCATTACTCGTGGTGTGCATCTGGGCTGCAGGAGCTCCATTGGGTGCACAATCTGAAGAGGCTGCAGATCCAAGCCGGGCCTGGGGACAAGGTGGCCTCTCCTCGGCGGCGCAGTGATGAGAGAGGTGCAGGGCTCGGTGCTCACAAGCCCCTCAGAGGAGAACAGGAGCCGGTCCTGGCCAGGGCCGGGCTGTCAGTCATTCAAGACACTGCAGCTCAAAGCTGGCGGGGAAGAAGAAGGCAGGGCTGAGGTAGTCAGAAAGTCTCCTGCAGCCTCAGTCCTCCTGCTCGTCCGCAGGAGAGCGGCTGGAGTCCCTCTGCCTCCCTAGGAGGACGCGTGGGCAGAGGCAGGGCAGAGCAGGGTCCTCCCTCAGACCAGGCCATCCAACCGGTCAGATGCAGGAGCAGCCAGGCCCATCTGCTCCCATGGCCAGAGGGAGGGAGGCTCCGCGCACACAGCTGCCCACCACACGTGTGGAAAGGGACAGGGAGGGCGGGCCGGGGGCACTGCAGACCACCCTCCACAGGAACAGCCTGGGCGAGGCGTGCCCCTGGAGAAGTCCGGGGAGGGTGTGCCGTGTGAAAGCAGCTCTCCTTCCAGGGACTGCAGACCCCTCCTGCCCGTATCATCTCCTCCTCCCCCCACTCCTCTGTCATGGGGCAGTTTAGAAAGTGGACCTCTCCTACACTCCCCGTGACCACCCTCATGCCATCTCCCCACTTCCACTTTACCTGAAGTCCACAGAACTAAAATGCAAATCCAACCCTTGCTCACTTTGGAAAACTCTTTTATGGACGACGCTGAGCCCCAGTTGGGAGTCCTCATGAAAGTCCCCTAACATTGGCCTCAGCCTCGCTGGCTCCGAGCCTCCATCTCCATGGCCACGCCCACCACCCGCAGGCTCGCTCCTACCAGGTCTCCAGTGTCCACGCACTCCCCCGGGTGCTCAGTTCCATTGGCACCCCCAAATCAATGCTCAGGAAGCCCTCAGTCATCCCAGGACGTGCAGGGAGCAAGCCGTTGGCCTCGAGGCACAGGTCCTGGTGGGGGCCGAGGGGCTCCAGGTCCTGCTCCAGGCCCACCCTGTGAACGGAGGTCTCC